CGTAGCTCTGCTCGTCTATATCTATCCGTTCCCTATCTGAGCCAAAAATCGAATCAATTTTTGAGTGATTAACGATTCTTGAGTTAAATCCACAGCCCTATCCATGATGATATATGTTTGCAGCTCATCCTCTGATCTGTGCTATTTATTTATAGGGTTGGATTGAGGAACAATGTTACTGAAATGATTTCATTCAAACAAATATAAAATAAATTTATATATCAATATTTAACAAACATTTGTTATAAAATATACTTGGGCTATCTTATACTTATCTGATTACATTGCGAATACATGTTGATTGCGTAATTATCTTAAAAACCTGAAATTTACTCATCTTTATAATTTAATTGCAGAGGATTAGTGCATCCCATTATATATTGCTCCATGTGTGAGTGTAGTCTTGCGCATTGATTGTGACACATACAAAAATTGTCAAGCCAATCTCTAATTGCATTCAGCACCCCACATATTTATGAAATTGCAATTAAAGTAACAAAAAGTCTTACAAAACTCTCCACTACTCATTTGTGTCTTTCCTTTTCTGCTGCATTGATTGCTATGAACTGTAAGGCTGAAGCTTATTAGTCCGCATGACGTATCAAGTGGCTGTCATTATCTGATCTCATGCTCATAAGTAAAAAGGGCACTTAGAGATAAACTTCGTTAGCTTAGGATTATGGTAATGACACTAAGCTGGTTAATTAATTAGGAGATAATGAGATTGATTAGTTTTGAGGATTAAGAATCTCCAAAGTTGAAGGCCTTCAAAAAAAGTCCACTTCCTTATCATTACTTTTTTTCCTCCCTATCATGGCCGGGCGCAGTTGGCCACTATCATTCTTCCATCCAGCCTGACTTCATTTTAAAAAAAAAAGGAAAGGAAAATTTACATACATGCCACTCAATTGTTATGTATTTACATATCTAACATCTAGACATCTTTTTTTTTAAATACATACCACCGCACTTGTCATGAAAATGTATTTCACTTTTAAAAGTTAAATGTGGGATGCTTCTTAAGTGATGCTAAAGATTTGGGTGGTATAAAGGTAAAATGTAAAAATGATGTGGTAAATATATAAATTCTTCTTCTTCTTCTTCTCTCTCTCTCTCTCTCTCTACCACCATCCCCCAATAGGGCTGTCAAAACGGCTCGTTCGTGGACAGCTTGAGTTCGACTCGTTAAGAAGCTCGTGTTCGGCTTGTTCACCAAGTTAACGAGAGTTGAACACGAACAACACGAACAAAGATTTGTTCTTTCATTTTCGGCTCGAAATACTACTAATCAATTTTATATATAGTATTTTTTTAAAAAAAATTAATTGACTACAAGGCTACAAAAAATTATAATCAATTAAAAGTATTAATTAAAAAAATAGAATAAAATTTATTAAATTAGATTCAAATGATGTTTTAATATAAACAATAATTTTTAAATCTTGCCCAAATAATTAACATCTTATGGCTACGTGATTAGCTGGATGAATTATCTCTGCTCAACGTTCCTCACAACATTTGAAGATTTAATAGTCATGTAAGATAAAAAGTTGTGATTATATTGATACAATTTCAATCAATTGGCATGCAATTACAATTTTACCTTTGAAAATTATAATTGGACATATATATTTGCCTATTCTTAGCTTATTTATGGGTATTTGAATTGGTGGGAATCATTAGACCACTTGTCGCTATGCGGCACTAGGTATTTTATTTAGGGACGGTGATAAATGATAAATTGGAGGATGTTGACAACTCTAATAATCAAGTGGTGGAGAATAAGGTATGATTTAGTGACCGTTAAAGATATGATTTTTTTTCCAAAAAAAAAATTGTATATTGCTAATAAGGACTGTACAAAACTTTTCTTATCCAAATTAGTTTTTAAACCACTTCTTTAAAAAAAAAATTTGTCAGCTGCAAGGAATACTTTCATTTAAGCATCACACAATTTACATTATCTATTATAATTATTTAGCTATTTACACAAGCTACGCAAAATTAGTGATTTAGGGTCTGTTTGGGGCAGTTGTTGATTATTTATAATTTGCTGATAAATATATTATTCTGATAATATGATAATCTGCAGATTATCAGAATAATCTGACTTGCTGTTCGGGGCAGCTTATTCAGAATAGTTTATTGGTGGTCATAGTGGTATAAATGACATTCTTGCCCCTGTTTGGTAAAACTGTTTGGGGCAGCTTATTCAGAATAGTTTATTGGTAGTACATAAGCATATCGTGCAGAATCATACAATCATCACAGATCAGTTTCAAAAGATGACATACAGTTCTCACACTTTCGTGAGTATCAGAAGAAATAAAAAAATGATAAAGACAAGTGCAACTAGAATGAAAAATATTAAAATATTTAATTTCAAACTCTGGCTACGCTTGCCCTCATCTTCACTATCAACTTGTGAAAACATCAGATTCCCATGACTGTTGGCAGTGTAATATGTGGGGCTGTCTGCCCACCGGAAGAAGCCGCAACGAGCTGAAACACCCTTGGCACAATCGTAGAACTGCCTCCCAAAGCTATGAGACTGACGCGATGTGAGCAACAGAGCCGGTAGACCACAATAACACAAAATACCTCTGTCTATAACTGATGTCCTAGAAGTACGATAATAGTCCACAATAACACAAAATACATGTCTGTAACTGATATTCTAGAAGTCATGTTTGGATGACTGCTATCTCAATCTCGGTGATGCAGATGTTGAAAAAAATAATTGTAACTTTCTTATCCCACATCGCTGAGGGACCACATTCACTTGTCTTAGACATTGTGGTACTATATGAAGAATTACATATTGTGTAAAGAAATTCATTTTGTAAGTAAACATGCATAAGAAAATTATCCAAATGCACCAACAAGAGGAGTAACATAAATTTCCTTAAAAAAGTAAACCTACATCCACAAAATGAGCATACATTCATAACATATCCAACTGAAGTAACATGTAAATCTCACAGAAGAAAAATAAAAAATTTGCTCACAGAAGAAAAATAAAAAAAAATAACACAAATGAATTATGTGGTTCAGTCAAAGATCTGCATCCACAGTAAGACATCGAACATATTTTATTATGAAATTGTGTAAGATTACATAGCTATGTTTTTCATATACATAGCAATGGTTCTCGATACACATCTTATATTTGATATAAATGGTGTGAAAATAAAGCAATACACATCAAATTTGATATAAACCTTCTCATATATGTCGTGGAACCCAATCCACCGGAAGAACCCAATGTATCTCTTTATATAAAATATTAGGAAATGCTGAAAAATCTCTAAAGACATAAATCTTCTCATATGAGCATTGTATCTCCTATCATAGGAAATGCCAAAATATAATAACTGAATCTCTAAAGACCAATACAACATATAAGCATTGCATCTGTTTTCTAGCCTCGACATCAAAGGAAACCCCTAAAACCCATCAACAATGATATATCATCTAACTAAAGAGTGGATTAGTATTTGCACATTCAAACAAATGCCCTAAACCCCATTACTGAGCAACATTCAATATAACAGGTGCAGCTAAACAGGTGCACTTAAACCCCATAACTGAGCAACATTGCAATCAGGAATAATATAACAGATGCAGCTAAACAATATAACAAGTGCAGCTAAACAATTCCAAAAGTTTGAACTAGCTGAGTTCCTACATTTCGAACAGTATAACAGAGACGCATTGAGCACATTCCAACAGTATAACAAGGACACATTGAAGCACATTCATTAAAGCGCATTCATTGAAGAACAATATAACAGAGACGCATTGAAGCACATTCCAATAGTTAAACGATTACAACAGTTCGAACAGTAAAGAACAATATAACAAGGACGCATTCAAGCACATTCCAACTGTTCGAACTAGCTGAGTTTCCACATTTCGAACTAAAGTTTTCATATAGGAACAGGGACGAGAAGAACAATATAACAGGTACAGCTAACACAGATCCAATGCATTCAAGGGATTTGCTCATATGTCATTGTTGCGATATTATACAAAAAAAAACGCAGAAAAACCTCAAGAAAACCCTCAGATCCATTTCCATCAATGCATTCCCAAATAATCCAGCAAATACATCCTCAAGAAAACCAAATCTTGCAAACAAAGTAAAGACAATCGAATCGAGCCACATAAAACCAACCATAAAACATAGCAGCATATAGATCTCACTAGAAGAATCGATGTTTATGAAGGAAAAGATCATGAAAGGAGATGGCGAGGGAGAGCGCGAGAGAGATCTCACAGGGGCACGGGAGGAATTCGAGCCCTAACAAATGCTGAACGCATAGGGAGCCCCACGTGCGATCTGTAGAAGGAAATAATATACGCGATTTTCATCGTTTTTAACACGCGGGGCCGAACGTCCTAACCAAACACCAAGGTGGCGTTTTCAAAATGCAAACGCCGCCGCACCAAAATAAGCTGCCTCAAATAGGCACTTAGGGTTCGTTTGAGGCAGTTTATTTGATACGATGACGTTTTTAAAATACATCTGGCCTGTTTGGGTAAACTGTATTTTGATAGCTAATGTGTTTTGAAAATGATGTCACAACGCACCTATCTAGGTGCGGTGGCAGCTTTCTGGCAGCAGTTTGACTTTTCCAAAAAAATAAAAAATTCTAATAGTCATCGCATCTAGCTTATCAACCGATTATTCTATAATTTACAGCTGCCCCAAACAGACCCTGTATCAAACCGTGGCAATGGATTAACTAGTGCGGCCTAATTATAATAACAAAGCTGCAAATATGTAAATATTGACCCGACGACCAACCCTCCTACATCAATGTTCAAAATTATCATCTCCCAATAATTTATTTAAGCCAATTGGACAAAAGGTTATAGGATCAGTATTTTACAATTAATTGCAATGGTATCTGAAGTACAATAAACAACCAAAAAAAAAACTTCTTCTTTTGAAGTAATTTCTTAAATTATTATTTTTAAAAAAAATAAATCACAAATATTGCAAATATTCTTTCATTTTTAAAAGCGCATCATTACATCAACAGTCTAATATTACAATTCCCTGTCTTTAAATACATCAGAGAACAGTAAGTATTTTCACCATTTCCCAAGCTCTTTCTCTCTTCAGGGAAATCACCGTACAAACACGAAAAAATATTACCTCAGGAGTACTGATGCATCAGTACTCCTATGAGGGGTGCCACGTAGGCACCACGGTGGGACCATTGCCTACGTGGCACCCCCTCATTGTAGTACTGATGCATCAGTACTCCTGAGATAATATTTTTTCTACAAACACAGACGAGATAATCTAACAAGATGCTTAATTCTATCTTACAAGAACAGAAACTCATGAAGCTTTTTGGTTCAGAGAAGGAAACCCATCTGTATGCCTTTTTTAGTGTCCATCACATCTCAGTTCCATAGTGGTAGTTTGGAATCGTAAGAGCAGGCATGGGTGAAATAATTTTCAGATCTTCACCATCAACCTTCCCCATCTGCGATTCAGAGTAATCCCATAGAGGAGAAGCCATTTCTGAAACTTCAACTTCATTGATTTTTTCCTTCCATCCTTCAAAGTTCAGCCATGGAATCTCTGATATAGCCAGCTCATTCCATATTTGATCCATGGAGTAGCCCTTGACTTCTCCATCTTCCTCATCGAACCATGATGTCGAGATTGAGTTCCCATGGTTGATCTGTTCGAGCCTTTTCTTCTCGGCCTCTGTCATGGCGATAGGGTTTTGTGAGGAGGAGGAGGATGATGGGGAAAGATGAGAGTTCTGTCTCTCTTGAGCCTTCTTCCTCTTATGAGTCCTCCAGTAGTTTTTAATCTCATTGTCTGTACGACCAGGGAGTTTACGGGCAATCCGAGACCATCTGAATTCATACATAAATATAAACACACACAGACATAAAAAAATCATAGATACAACCACATATTAAGAAACCCTAATGAATTGAATTACCTATTTCCCCAACGAGAGTGAAGTTCTACTATGAGCTGCTCTTCCTGGGGCGTCATTCGGCCATGTTTAAGCCCAGGATGAAGATAATTAAGCCATCTAAGCCTGCAACTCTTCCCGGTTCTGTTCAGACCTGCAGAAAACAGAGCTCCGATGTCATCCATGGAAGAACGCGCACAAATTAAAGCGAGAAAAAAAAAACGTTCTACAATCAATCAAATACCTAGATCCCCCGCCACACCGCCAACCTGAGACTTTTGCTATGAAATCCCAGCGGCTTTCGCCGAAGAGATGAACATAGCAAACCAGATGCATGTCTTCTTGTTCAGTCCAGGGGCCCTTCCTCATCTCTTCTGAAGCCGCCATGTGAGGAGAGGTCTTGTGTTCTTCTTCTTTTTCTTCTTCTTCTCTGGCTTTCGAATTCAGGGATGTTCTTCTTCCGTCTGCTTCTTTTCCTACTGCTAATGATGGTGTTCCTTTGAGTACCTATTCTCAATGGCTTCTCTGCTTCCCCGCCAGAGCGAATTTGGGTGACTTGGAGGAGAAATGGCGATGGAGATTATTTATAGGTGGGGGACGATCGTTGGTCACGTGATGTGTGCTTATCTTGCAGCACGTGGCATGCCCTGATAAACGGATTGGTAAAATGGGGTTGGATTGGAGACAACATTGTGTGCACGAGGATCGCAGCACTATTGTACCTCAACATGATCTCAACAACACAAATGCTACTAAAATATCATGACAATATCATTGATCCGCACAATCTCATCCGCACAAAATATTTTTTCTCGGATTGGTGGGTTCAATAGGTGCAAAGTTGTTTCTGCACGAAATCAACTAAAATTGGGGTCGGTTGATGAACCGGATCGATGATGATGAACCCCCTTTTCATTTTATTTATTTATTATTTTTTATTATAAATAAAAAAGCCTAAATTCAAGATAGTAAAAAATAAATAAAAAAAAAAATATTATGACTTAATATTCATTGAAGAATTGGTTTGGTCCAACAGTAGGGATGTCAATGGGCTAACTATGAGCAAGCTCCATATTTGTTCATTTAAAATGACTCTTGAATAATATGTTCATGTTCAACTCCATCTGATTTAGTTTTCTCATTTCAACTTGTGAGTTGTGATTGGCTAAAAAAAAAAGAAAAAAACTTGTTATTGGCTCAAATATAGCTTACATAATTCAAAAGGTAATAAAATGTAAATTTTTTTAAGGAAAGTATAAAAAATTAATAAAAAAAATATTGTAATAATATTATTTCTTTAATTTTAAATTCGAGCCAAAATAAGCCCAACATAATCAAATAAAAACTTGCATGTACTTTGCTTGTTTGCAAATAGAGCTAACAAAAAATTATGTGTGTTTAACTCAGATTAATTGCTTTATAAATGAATTAAACATGAGCTACTTAATGAGCTAATAATGCGTTGGTCCCAAATGACTAGCGTAATTCAAGAGCAAAATTTGTTGAATGAGACTTATATATATTAAATTGATAAACATATTGTTATTATTATCATTTAAATTATATTAAAATAGCTTTTTTTTATTTATATTGTTATTATTATCATTTAATAATATATTGATATTATTATCATTTAACAAAAAAAAAATAATATTAAATATATTGTTATTATTATCATTTAAATTAACATTATCAGTCTATCCTCAGCCTCAATCGCGACTTATCGTTATACCCGCGATCGCATTTTCGTGAAAATAAAAACGTCATTTGCGGATAATCAGTTAAAACGTGAAAACCAAACGGTGCGGCTGTTTTTTTGCAAATGACGCCGCATTTATAAGCTGCCCCAAACTGGCCCTTAATATAAGTCAGCTTCTACGATGGACGACTGCGAAAGAATACCCCGTAACTTCAATGTTGATTATTTCTAACGAACCTCAACATATAACTGGCAGCAATTGCGATTGCTCAATTTTTTTATCAAAATAATAATTGGATAATAAGTAATTTATCATATCCAACAACAACTGAAACATGAAGACAGATTCTCAACCGCATAAAATAAGGATAGGAAACTCATTGTAAGAAATTTAGAGACATACAAGTAGATCCAATACATAGTTAATGCTCTTCCATTAATTTCTGTACACTTTGACATTTGCTGTAGGCATTTGACGTACACGATCTTCATTCCATTTGGGTATATTTATTTACATCTGCTCCTGCACGTTTCCTGTGGCGTCCCCGCGGGGATTTATTTCCTTCATCATCTATTAGTATTTGAAGCATAATTAATGTGCTTTTTTTTCATAAATTGTAACCAAGCTTAAGGAAATGAAAAAGTAAAAAATGATCAAGTATAGAAAAATATAGACAAAAGACATAATAAGCATAACAGAGAAAGAAAGTTGTATAATACAGTTCTTAGTAATACAAGTAGTAGAGAAAAAAACAAAAATTGTTCAAGACAAAATTTATCTGCATAAGCGAAAATTTTTTGGAGGAGTGGTTCAGTTATGACCAATAACTTTGCAAATGCCACTAGCTCTGTTGCTACGAACAATAGCGTCATCCATAGTATTTCTATGACGTTTTATAAGAAGAATAGGTAGTTGAAGATCATGAGCATAATTCATAGGAGTGATTTGATCCCATGTATCTAGCTCAGGTATAACGTGAAATTCTACCTCATATGTTTTATTTTTTATGTAATTGAACACAGTGTAGAAATGTGAGACATATCCAACGTGATAAAGTTGTTTTTGTCCTAAAGCGGCATTGGCATGTGCACATGACATATTTTAAGCCTGAGGTTGATTGAGTGTGCAGCAACAGTCTTCCAACCACAATAAATCAACTTGAAATGATCTATATGACATGTCGAATACCTGAATCTAAAGTGTGTTGATGTGTGTTGGTTCGGGAAACTTCCGAGCCTCTTTTTCATGTTCTTGAAAAGAGTTCAGAGAAAAGATAGAGATATTTTGATTTTCAAGAAGTGTGGCAGCTTCGGAGTATTTCAAAAAAAGAGCTACAATATTATAATAGATGGAGCAAATCAATGCTTGGATTGGTAGACCGCGGGCTAGCATCAACACCCCATTGAAGAATTTAGATGCATTTGTGGTCATTGTCCCGTTCATGTAGCCACCATCATAAGTTAATGACCAAGTCTTAATATCTCTTGCAACTAACCAATCATATACCTCAACTCTTACATTTTTGATATCTTCCATATTTGGATTGAATATATGGAGATAATCATTATTCCCCGCAACATACATTTTTTTACAGAGAAAAACAACATCTGATATGCCAATTCTATGCACTGCTTTCTTGAAGGTATCCCGCATGTGTCTTAAATAATGTCGATGTGCAGCTCAAGGTGAAATTTCCGTACGCCCCCGTATTAGTCCAACATGTCAATTAGAGATAATGCACAAATCTTTTCTTGCAGAAAGCAATAGAATTAACTCATTGAGTATTTGTAGAAACCAAAATCAAGATTCATAGCACTCTGATTCAACGACTGCAAATGCCAATGGAAATAAACCATTATTCACATTATGCAGTAAAAAATGTTTCGTTCATACTTACCGCAGGATGACCATATTGCCAACTTGTGATAGAAGGTCTGAATGACCAAAAGATACGTTAAAACGGTTGGTCTCGCTTGAATGAATTCTATAAATTGTTCCTTGCATAACATAACATATTGTGTTGATTCAATGTACAATATGAATCCTCCCAACATCCAAAAATAACTGTTATTTTGACCCCCAATTAATGAACTAAGGTAAAAGGACACTTTTGTAATGTGGTATTGCTCACCTACCACATCTCAACTACCGCTCACCTACCGCTCACCTACCGCTCACCTACCTCCCATCTACCCCTCTCTTGCTTCTATAAATAGAGAGGGTGTGAGGCTTAGGAGTGCAAAGGAAAGAAATTTTAAGGGTGTGAGGCTTAGGAGAGGCAAGGGAGAACTACCACAAAGGAGGAGAGAATAGCTAGAGAGCTAGAGAGGAGGAGAGCATCTTGAGGCCTTGTATCAAGGTGTCGCTTGAGAGGGAGGTCGTAGAAGGAAGATGAGGGCTCATCTCTATGTATAAGCTATGTATTCTCCATTTCTTTTGCCTTAGTGAAATATTTGATTGATTCCCTCCCGTGGACGTAGATCCAGTTGGATCGAACCACGTAAATCGATCTGTGTTTGCTTGTGTTCTTTTTTCGTCTCATTTTCTATGTCAGGAAGTACATATCTCACAACAATTGGCGCCGTCTGTGGGAAGATCCATACTTCTTGGCTAGAGGTGTCCGCGTAAAGGTGTTCGCGGCCAGCGACGAAGAAGAGGAGTTCGGCAT